AAACGGGACGCAAGCCCAACATAGCATCTGTCCTCAATTTTTGAAACATTTCCAGGTACGGTAATTACTCCAACAGATCCAAAATATTCTGCATGATCAATTGGTTTGTTCATGCGCTCCTCAACAAAATCGATACAAAATTCCTGAAAATCGCTTACCTGGGCAACGGGCCGACGTGTGATTCCAAACAGTTTCTCTGTGGCTCGGACAGCGCTGACCGTAGCTGCCGGCTGGAATAGCTGTTTAAAACAAGTACAAGCACCGCACTTCATCAAATGTACCCAATTCCCAAGAAGTTTCTTCCAAAATGAATCCATAACAAGTCAAATTCCGGGGTTTTTATACCAGGTTACCTGGAAAGCCAGCAAAAGAGCAGGCCTCTTCACGAAATTCTCCCATCTACCAACCGCAGAAACCGTACTGTTTAAAGGGTTAACAGCGTAAATAATATGGCAATCATTATAATTTAGCATCAGAGTATACGAGACCGCTCGCACACCTGAAACTTTGCTCACCTGCCCGACATAGAGGTTGAGACGAAAGGTTCAGGCGGCGAGACGGAGCTCATTTGGGGCTCGATAAAACGATTTACATTCAGAAACGAAGGCATCCTTACCACAAAAGCAGAAATTGATAAAAACCAGAGGAAACTTCATCAGATGGGAATAGGCTTTGTTGAACAAACATATCAAAGAGTTGTCGAGAGCCGTATGGCAACATCTGGGCGAAATCGCAAGAGCCACGGCACACGGCATTCTGACGGCAAAGCAGCGATCTCATCGCTGGGCATCGATTTCATTCATGGCTGGTTAGACACATACCACGTTTAGAAATCAATAGCGTTTCCTTCAATAGCGTTTATTCCAAAATCGGAAAATGTTTCTTGGCTTTACTTTACGGGGCTGAATGAATTAGATAGGGGACGGGTTAATGAAGTCAAGATGATGATCGTGGAATGGAAGGACTTGGCTATGCCATGTATCTATCCATCACAGTGAGGACGATGTCCGGACGACGGACGGAGGAGGCGAATATGGAGGGTGGAGAGCCACTGGCGGCTGCACAGACAAGGCAGTCTCCGCACTGGGCGGGTCCTGCGCGGCCGAGGGGCGGACCAAGACCGCCCACCATACATGACCGCTTCGCATTGCCAATGGAATCGATTGCCGCCGGCTTTTCTATTTCAATACGCTGGCATCCCCGTCGAGCCACAACACTAGACACAGTTTCTCGAAGTCGATTTTCACTTGCTACAAAACCCCGCGAATTACTGGTTACGATACCCTGTTTTCCAAACGCCACAACAACTTTTGCTATCGATCTCTACTGCCATAGAGGGCAGGGGAACCGATTTGAAAATCCGATAACACCGCCTACTCGACAGCACATTCCAGTTTCAGCCCAGCGGCTGGCTGTCTCGTATGTCAATACCTCATCTAACTCGTTTGTGTTACTGCACTGCTGGAATCGTCAACGGTGGAAACGAAATAAACTCACTCTCTTGATATTGTGCGTCTGTTCAACTCTAGCAGAGCGGCTATTATCGAATCAGCGATGTTTAGTAGTAAAAAGTGACCTTGCTTCGTTTTTAGGCGACACTCAACGCGAAACTGTCAAGTCTCAGATACGATCTGACGATTCAGTGCCAACATGTCGCCGCATATACTTGCCACATCTCAGCAGAAGACCAAGAAGAAGACGAAGAAGGCCAACAAGAAGAAATCTCTCAAGAGACTCAGATTAAAACTCAACTGGACACCATGAACAAGGACATATGGGCACTTCAAATCAAGGAGACTGAGTGGCTATAAAAAAGCAGCCATCCGAATCTCGGAGCCTGTTTCGAAACAGACAAAAAAATTCTGAAAGACATACATCGCGTTCTCCATGGGATTAGGACATTCTGAATTTTCCACCCATTCAACTCAGTTATAGTAAATAAACTTAGGCTACCACAGCTCAGCATTAGCGCTGAGATTCTAAAAGAAGATTTCGGAAAAGGATAGTAGTAAAACCTCGTCTCCTAGACCTGTAAAAAATCCCTTGAACTGTGAGACTTTCCAGGGTATTTCAAATTCGCTTCCCAAAGCTCCCAATCGGAACCAGTTCCTGTCTTCCCTTCACCCATCAAAATCACCCCTCAGGCAAGATTCCGCATAGTTCACGGCGCATCCCATAACGATAGCATATGATAAAAAGATTTGAATAAAGTTAACTCAACAAAACATAGGGAATTACATAAAACATTTCATTTTCTTTTATAGCACTGAACAGAAGGAAATGTAAAGCGAATGATAGCGCAGTAAGAACTTGGGCGCTGGTGATAAAACGATGAGCTCCGAATGATCTATACTGCTTGGGATGCGCCTTGAACTTGACTTTCATTCAAATGCGCGGAGGTATTCTGTCAGCCGATGCTCAAGTCACTGTTTCCTCGGCCAATGTACTTGGGCGAAATAAAGACTTAAAATCTTATAAACGGTTGGCTCACTTGTCGAAAATACTGCCGCAGACTACAGGGTGCATGGACAATTCGCTTTCCCCAAAGCCCCTGTACGCTCCCAAGTCTGACCCTAGAGGGTGCCCCCCTATCTTGCGATAGCGCCGTACGAAAATTTTCTGCGAACTATGAGCCAGCGAAT